GAAATGCCTCCCACTTTCTGGAACGAACCAAGCAAGTCCAGCTATATACAATTGTTTCACATAATGACGGACGAGAAAAGAGAAGAAGCAGGAATTAACAAGGTTTTGCTTTTATTTCTGTATTTCTTGACTACCTTCGATTTACTGGTGAGTTCACATTTCCATGGATATCCTGTTCCAATGTCATGTGAACTAGTTCAGGATCACAAACTAGAATGCAAGGTGTCCCTATTTGTGTTACACAATCGCAAAACTCTCACTCTTGAACAGGTTAGTGAAAATACATGTACGGTCAACGTCACGCACAAACTTAGATGCTATTCATTTTAAACCTTATATTAAAAGAAATAAAATTTGAAAAATTCTTATATTTAAGAGAGATGAATTTCTAAATTATAATGGGACCCTAAGATAATACTACAAATTTTCCCCTAATTTGCGCTGGCCCCAGAGGCTGTCTCCTCAAACACAGACTGAAAAATAGGCCTCGCTTCATGCCCAGCAGGAGAAGATGCCGGACGTGGGCCTGAAAGGTGCCTGTCTGCAAGTTGGGCTCAGGCCTCTTCTTCCTGATCACTCAAAGCATCTTCAGACAGAGTTGAGAAGAATCTGGGATTCTTACTTTTGAGATTGAGCAAATACTCTAGGACCTTCATCTTGCTGGTTTCAGCGTGGGCCCTGGGACCCCACAGGAACTCGTAGCGAGCAGGATCGCTGTTGGCAACCTGCCGGTACACCACATACGGTTCCCGCACCCAAACACTGGTGATGAGCTCCCTGGGCTCCCCATAGATGCAATGCTCCCTTCCATCATACAGCCCCATGACATTCAGGGCTTTCCAGACTTCCTCCTCAGGGGCACAGTCACCCTCCAGGAGGATCAAGCACAGGATCGTGACCAGGAGGCCCGTCTTGGGCATGCTGTGCCTACCGCTCACCATCCCATCGTAGGTGAGGCCCAGCGTGGTGACCAGGAAATAAACGTTGTTGCTGGGGTCGACTTCTTTCACCTCAATGCCAAAGAGCACCTGCAGGCACTGCGAGGCTCGGCTGAAGATCTCAGGGAAGTGGTCCTGGTGCTCCTTGATGACACAACTCAGCATTTCTGACTTGGTGGCCGGCTCCTTTGTGCGATACTTTAGGAGAAGGAACACCACCAGGTCGACCATCTTCAAACGCAGTGCCTCTTTCTGCGAGGACTCGGCATCTTCGGGGTCCTCCCTGGTGCTCCTCCCCCCCTCATCTTCGTTACTGGGGCACTCTTTCTTGGGTTGTCTCAACGGAACGGCCTCCCTGGCAGTGGGGGAAGCACAGGCACCCTCTGGGCTCTGGGGAGGACTAGATGCCACACCAGCAGCAACTTCCTCTGGGCTGTCTAACAGGACAGAGGAAGAGGAAGATAAGGAGGAAGAGAGGGATACAGCCTCCTCCTCTTCCTCAATCTCAAGCACTTGCTCTTCCAGCAAGCCCTGTCTCTCTCTTGGATCCACATCATCTTCCCCCTGCTTGGAGAGCTCATTCGTCTGACTGAGAGGCATGGTGACTGTTGATGAGACAGCGACAGAGGAGTGTGGGCGGACGGTGGTCGGTGGGGACCCACGCCTGGGGGAGAAACAGAGTGTGAGCGACCTCACCTGAGAAATGCACCTCAGGCGGCTCTGAGGAAGGCGACTTACAGGTCTCCTCTTTAGGGTGCTCTCGGGCCTCACAGCACTCTCCTGTTTGGGCGTCCCGTCCGCTGAGAACCTGAAGCAACAGGTGAGACGGCTCCTCAGGGTGCAGCTGGCACAGTCCATGCTCGTGGGCTGACAGTATGGTGGGTGGATTTGGAGACTGTGGGGTCTCCTTTCTTGCGGGGTGGGGGACCAACTGGGTACACATTCAGGGCAAGCACCTCACCATAAATCCTGGCACTGCCTGACCTGCGTCTGCTCTGCGACATGAGGACACGTACCTCAGACCAAGGCCTTCACCTACTGGATCCAGAAACCTTTGCAAAATGAAACAAAGGAGGACATTCTGAGAACTGGTACACGCATCCCTGAGAGTGAACAGAAGGAAATGTGAGGCCTCACATCTGACTGCACATGCCCAGAGCCTCCCAGGTGTCAATAAGGGGTTACGGAAGTGTTAGATCCATTTATCCTGGGATACATTACCATCCTGTCTCCTTGACCTCCTGCAGAGCCTAGACAACTACCACCCTTTACTGAGCCCAATCTACTTAGAACAAAGCCTCTTCTCCATTAGACACTGGAAGAGAAAGTGATCGGAGCCAATCCACACACTGTTCCGAGTTTCCCCACAGCTGACAGAGCAGGCAAGCCAGGCCTGGGCTCCCAAGTGTTCTGGTGCCCCTCAGTCCTCACCTGGATTCCTGTCAGGGCCTGGGATCCCGCCCATGCTGACCTGAGTCCAGGCCTCAAACCGGGGCCCTCCCCTCCCTGAGACCACCAATCGGGGCCTGAGGAAGTGCTCGGCTTGACAGCAGTGCCCAGGGTTTATAGGGCTGACAGTCACAGCAAGGCAGACTTCTCTAGGGCTCCCTCTTTGTTCTGGGGTGAACTCACTCTCCCTTTCAGGGTCATCACCTTGATTCTTAGCAGGATCTGTTCCTCCTTTGTCCGTGGACCGGATATGGCTTCCAGGGATGGGCTGACGTCGTCCTCGCAGACCAAGGTCCTCACCGTCCTGAGGGCTCTGAGACAAAATGAGATGAAGCCGCAACTGCTCCCCCTTCCACTGCCCCAGGGTCACCCAGGACCAACAGCGGGCTGGCCCTTCTTTTCTGGGGCAGAGTCCCTTTACATTGTCCAGCAGAGTCTTGTCTCTATTTCTCCCTGGTTCTGGGCTGACCCTCTACTGACCCGATTTCACCCTATGTTACTGTCCTTAATGAGAAAACCTCACAGGAAGCGTGTCACAAAGGCCAAGCATGTCACATCCAGTTACCCCTGTCTGGGGCCTCCCGCATGAGGATGGGGATGCCTAGGTGCTGTGGAGTCTCATTCTTTCTCAGAGAGTGGGTAACTACAGTTCTCCCCCAAAAAATGTTCTCACCCCTCTAATCCTGGCAAAACCTCGACTCCTCTATTCATGACTGGAAATCATCCCTTCCGAACTAGGCCCACACATTTCTGAAGACCCTGGGAACGTGAGGGGGAACCACCTCCACACACCCATGTCAGGGGGCTCCTAGGCCTGCCAGCAGCACAGAGTGGGTTTTGGTGGGTCCCCTTGGTCTGGGGTCATGGTAAAATTGGTCCACCCCAAGCTACCCCTGTCACTCACACAGGGCCTGGGCCCTTTCCCTTCTGCTGCCCTGAGGATGCAGAGGGGAGGCCAAGGCACCATGTCTCTTAGCTATCCACGCAATGAGGAAGCGGGGGCGGGGTCTCCTTCAGACTTCCTGCCAGGACTCCCACAGCGGACTGCAGGGGTTTTCTGGTATATATTGCGGGGAGCGTTTCTGCCTAGTGTGGAACCCCCAGTCTTACCTCAGTGTACTCACCGTGAAGCCTCTAAGGCCTTGGACTCGGCACCCCACACACCAAGGCCCTCATCTCACTGAGTCCTGCGAGGTGGACTTCAAGACACATCATTTCTTCTCCCGTGCCCCTAACAACCCAGCTATGTCATTGGGACCTGAGCCCACTGCTCCATTGTTGTCTGGGTGGGTGGGGCCCTCAGGCCTGCCTCAAAGCCCACACTGTTTACTGGCAGGCCCGGGACC